AAAGGTGATATGATGTAATTTAAAAAAAAAACGTCTGTGGATAATGATACTTTTTCCACAAGGGCAAATGATAACATCGAAGGACTGTAGCCTTCAAAGTCTGATATACACTGACTCTACTCATTTTCTCTAAGTACCATCTATGTTGGCAAGTTACTCAGCCCCTTTGTTTCTCCATTTTCTCACCTTGAAAAATAAATTTAACAATGCAAAACTTGCAAGGCTGGTATGAGGGTTCATCGTAATATATGCATAGTTTCTGTCAATATCAGACACGTAGAAAGAATATATCTTCAACATAATCATATTCTAATCTGTATTTTTTCCATTTTGTTAATATTTGTAATTAGTATGATTGAGTTTGCTGACAACTTAAGAAAACATAATAACAAAGTTTAAAATGATTTTTTTTTTCCTTTTGATAAAGTTTTTGACACTTTGCCACCCATGCGCTATCAGGAGACCATGAGCACCATCATGACATGGATCCAGCAGTCAGAAACCAAACTCTCTATACCTCAGGTTATGGTCACTGAATATGAAATCATGGAACAGAGACTCGGGGAGTTACAGGTCTGTGAATGTTTAAATGTCTTAAACAATACAGTGCACATCTTATCTACCAAATAATTACATTGTATAACCATAAAATAATATTAGAATTAAAAGAATCGTGGCATGAATGATAGTTAACTAGTTAAAAAAAAATGAAGTCTTTAAAAATATAATACGTTATGCATTTCTGCCTTCTCTCTATAAGATAAAAATTCCATTACTGAAGACAATGATATGATCTACTTATGAAATATATTTTTCTAATTTAGTATGTATTTTTAGACATATTGATTTTGATTATTATAAAAGTAATGGTATCATTTTCCCCTTTTGATTGATGATTTATAACTCCTCTCATGTTTCTGAACAGAAAGGAGTAAAAATCAGTGTAGTTATAAAATTAGTCTTAATTTAAACACTAGTCTTATATCATGATGTAGTTAGTTATTTGAGTTCTAATAACTATGATTTTAACAACCTTATATTGGGGGATGTCTTAAACAATGCAGTGATATGAGGATTTTCCTATCTCTGAAAAGCCTGTGTTGTATATCTGATCACATTTTATTTAAGACATGAAACATACTTGTTATATTTAGGAGCTGAAGTGAAATATCCAAGTTTTGAAAATTAAATTAATAAAAAAGGTTAAAATTTTAACTTGATTATATCAAGTTCTTTTTTGAAAATGAAATATTT